ACTATGTGCCAACTTGGACGTGTTACTGAGATGTGCAATTCGTGAATAAGAATCGTCTGGGATTATCTTGGCGAATTTATCTTATCAAACCCTTCCTTCAGATGCTAAAGATAAGTTGCAAAAGCTTAACTTCAGCATCTCCATAAGGTTTCAGCTGGACTGAAACGGAAATAACAATTTTATGTGCATGAATGTTCTCGCAAAGTGCGATATGATGATATACACATCACATGTAGTAAGTGATTTGTAGTATATTAAGTAGATCCAAAGAGAGAATGTGTGAATGTGTAGTGAGATTGCTTCTCATGTGCGATGAAAGCTGGGGAATGATCTGTGAGAAATATTTATATATAAAAGACCTTTGGGTACCAAAGTGAATCCATTATGTTATGGAAATAATACATGTATCATTATTCAAGTGTAAATACTACAGGAAATACCAACTAAGGAAGCCCCAGTTAATGTTATTTTTCGCGTGGTTCCTTACATTGCAACTGTTAAAAAAGTTCTCACACACATATACTTGTACACACACAAATATGTAAATATACATGTATATATATATATATATATATATATATATATATATATATATATATATATATATATATATATATATATATATATATATATATATATATATATATATATATACATATATATATATATATATATATATATATATATATATATATATATATATATATATATATATATATATATATATATATATATATATATATATATATATATATATATATATATATATATATATATATATATATATGTATGTAAGTATATTTACATATATGTGTATGTGTGTATGTGTGTGTAGACACATTTACTTCGAGAAATAATATCACAGTGATTTTATTGTAATCAAACAACGATTTCATCTGATCCTATCATACAAACGTTATTTAGCCGGGATCTGATTAACTAACACGCTGTGCCTGCCTGATAAAGAGAGAGAGAAAATGAAAGAGAGAGAGTGAGAGAAGAGAGAGAAGAGAGAAAAAAGAGAGAAAAAGAGAGAAGAGAAGAGAAGAGGAAGAAAGAGAGAGAAGAGAGAGAGAGAGAGAGAGAGAGAGAGAGAGGAGAGAGAGAGAGAGAGAAGAGAGAGAGAGAGAGAGAGAGAGAGAGAGAGAGAGAGAGAGAGAGAGAGAGAGATAATAGAGATACAAATAATAGAGAGAACGAATGAGAGATAGTAAGAGAAACTTAGTTTTTCTTAGCCACAAAGAACCATAGCTAAACGACGTATCAAAATAGCTAAGAATAGACGGACCAAAGAGCAATAGAGAGTGAATTCTAAAACTTTGAATTTACTTCGTTTGCCCAAAAAAAAAAAAAAAAAAAAAAAAACACATCAAACGTGACATTACAATAAGTAATATCATAAAGATGTATCATTGTAAAAAGTACTATTCTGTTCACTCTCCTATACCGTGTTGCATTCCCTATGGATGAGATGTATAACACGAGGGTTAATAATAAGTTTGGTAGCCAACGATGGTGTGTATAATACCTGTATTTCTCATTAACACAAGTTGTAAAGATGTCACATGATTTTAATGCTAATATTGTTATTTTCTCAATCGTTATGAATATATCATTACTGTTATTATTTTGATTTGTTATAGATATATATATATACATATATATGATCTCTTTTTTTTTAACACGGGAGATTGGCACCCCAAACTGAGCCCCTATCAGGGATGCCAAACTCTCGTCTGAACCTTTTATCCCATGAACAATTCCACCTGTAAAACATACCTGTAATTCCAGATGTCATATGAAGTATATGTCCCTTGATATACTGGTTTTAATCACCTTGCCACATGCTACGGACACGTGTAGTTGTTTAATCTATATAAAATCAACGATCTGTTGTCTGTCTGTCTGTCTGTCTGTCTCTCCTCTCTCTCTCTCTCTCTCTCTCTCTCTCTCTCTCTCTCTCTCTCTCTCTCTCTCTCTCTCTCTCTCTCTCTCTCTCTCTCTCTTCTCTATATATATATATATATATATATATATATATGAATACATAACCTCTCCGGTCGGGATTCGATCCCTCGCGCCGTTGCAAGTGATTGCAAGACGGACACTAACCACTGATACACGACCCACTAAATCACTTCAACGGCGGCGAGGGATCGAATCCCATCGGAGAGGTTATATATTCATCATATCAATGCAGCCAGTGCATTATTCCATCTTTCATACACACACACACACACACACACACACACACACACACACACACACACACACACACACACACACACACACACACATATATATATATATATATATATATATATATATATATATATATATATATATATATATATATATATATACATATACATATGTATAGATATATATATATATATATATATATATATATATATATATATATATATATATATATATATATATATATATATATATATATATATATATATAATGTGTGTGATGAAAGTTTAAGCCACTTTAT